TCAAATAATATACAAATAGTGTCAATATGTGCGGCCGGAAAATGAGACTGAACGACGAATGAAAGTCTCCTGAGAGCGACGAGCAGCAGTCGTCGTGTGTGTGTGTGTGTGTGTGTGTGTGTGTGTGTGTTCAGAGATGGACAGCAGCTGCTGGAGGAACATCTCACCAGACGCATGTTGGAGGAGATGTATTTATGAAGGATAGAAGGAGGGATTACGTTCATTCATATTTCCCCCCTATGTAGGCTCCCATAATTAGTCCTGTGTTAGAAATCCACGTATGACATGTTTATGTTGTTATTGTTGTCCTAACAAACTATAAAAAGTAGTATTAGCATTTGAATTCTGATAATTATGATTATCATTGATATAGTTGTTTTCATTGTTATTACATGAGCCTGCTGACTGGCGGTGAAAAGACACACACACACACACTGACGCAACGGGATAAATAATCTCTTGATGTTAGAAATGAAGATGAGACAGACATCAGTAATATCTAGAGGACTCGCTCTGCAGTCTCTCGTGTGGAGGTCAGAGGTCAGCGTTTGGAGTGAGCAGGAGGGCACAGCAGCCAGGTGTTGATTGCGGATAGGAGGTACACTGATACATAATAGATATTTACACATGTCCGCTCTGCATAACTCAGAGCAGAGAGACATCTTTGTGATGCTCAAACGCATCAGGAGGAACAAACGCTTCTGACAGCAAAAGCAGACAAAAGGAAGCTTTAAAGTGGGACGTATTATTGAAACACACATTCACATTCGCCTGGATGGACCCTAACCCTAACCCTAACCCCTAACCCTAACCCTAACCCTAACCCCCCAGCGGTCAAACGTTCTGTGAAACTGGACGCAGGATTAGGAGAGGTTCTAAAAATGTGAATAGCTCAAACTATATTGCCTGTAGAGCCCCCTTTGTATATATAGACCCCCATGTTTTCCTGTTTGTGTAAAATAATAAAGCATTTTGTCTTCTTGCGTCTTATACTGCATAAAAACACGAGTTAATTATATATATATATATATATATACATGCGTGTGTGTTTGCGTGTTCGCCAGAGTTGATTTATGGTTATGGAAAACTGTACACATCTCTATACCCACTTCCTAGATATAAGTGTGTGTGTGTGTGTGTGTGTATGTGTGTGTGCGTGTGCGTGTGCGTGTGTGTGTGTGTGTGTGTGTGTGTGTGGACGCTCTCTTCTTTAATAGGTAAATGCAGCTTCTGAGCTTCCTCTCTGAAAGCTTCAAAACGGAGCCTTCAGCACTTTCTACTGACTGATGTGTGATGGTGTGTGTGTGTGTGTGTGTGTGAGAGTTTTTATGCATTCCACCAGAAGCTCCCATCCACACTGTTGCTGCCTCAGCTGTAGCTGGCGGCCCACGACTAACCTAGTGATCTGTGAGGCGATAACTGCATGACAGGCATGCTTTGGTCTGGCAGAGAGTGAGAGGACACATGTGTGTGTGTATGCAGCCAGGGAGGAGAGAAGAGGAAAATTGAGGGTTGCAAGGAAACGAGGAAAAACCGGCTCATCTTCTCCCATCGCGTCATGCAGGTGATGCAGATATGACTGCTTCTGTAGACAGAATATCCCTTTAGATGGCTTAGATAGCAGCATTATACAAGTCAAACTGTGTGTGTGTGTGTGTGTGCAGGCTGTTTACTACTCCAGCCATGAGGGTGTTTCTGCCGTGACGACAGCCACAGAAAGCTCCTTGAAAGGAGGGAAGAGCAAACAACACACTGACGCCCGGTGGAGGTTCCAAACATGTCGACAGGTTTCTGCTGTGTGATGCTGAAGGAAAGGTTCACGAGTCGTTTGAGTCCAAACGGTTCAACCTCTGGGTGGCAAGAAAGAGACCACTGCACTGCAAAGCTATCCGCCCATGTAGCGCGTGCTGTTCAAAGGTTTGTCCTCCAGGAGGCTCTAACAAAAGCATTGGGATCCACAGTGAGGGACACGGTACACAGCACGTCATCCGAAGTTTGATCCTTTGCATGTAACTAATACAACGGCTGGTTGTACATGTTGCAGCACTGCATGTGCTCATCCAGCGTAACCACTGACAACGCCGGCCCTGAGCCGTGGTCCCGGCACCAGGCGCTGGCAGGAATACGCAAACACAGCTTTAAAGTACAGTTGCAATGGTGTATTTGTAACAACGCTGTGAAATGTGCAGCCTCCCTCACTGCAGAGCGTCAGTTAGCGACCATCTGAGATCCACATCCCGTCCTGTCAAACACAGCTGAATGCTCCCAGAGGGGACACTGAGGGGTCAAGAATAAACCTTTGAAATGACAAATAAAAAGACCTTCATGTGGCCAGAAAAAAACATATTTATAAAATAGAATATGTATAATAATAATAAAAATTATAACAATAATTTGAAAATGTTTCCTCAGATATGAACCTAAACCACATAAACTCCAACAACCCGCCGAGTCCTTTTCCATCCCTGGTGTGCTGAGCGTATTCATGCCATGTTCAGCCAGCAGACGGGGGTTTTTGGAGGGGGTGTTGGTGCTTTTGGGGGAGCAGAGCGAGCTGCTGGAGGGATGGGCTCTTACCTTGGCAGGGGGCCACGTTTCCCAGCCCCCACCAGCCATTACCAGCTAGGAGAGAATCACCAGTCAGACCCAGTTTACACCGGAACAAAGCAGTCGGTTTGCACCAAATACAAATGGACCACTGAATTAAAAAGGCTTTGTTGTGCAGAAAACACACACAGGGTTCTGCTGCACCCTAGAACCAACGCTGCTACCCGACTGTCAATCCATCCATCTCCCATTGTGAAGACGGACGCACGGACACTAAAACGTGTGCCGCTGTGGACGTAAAATGACAAGCGGTCAGATGAGCTGTGATCAAACGCCGTCGCTCGGCGATACAAACAGCTGGAATACGAGACAAACAAATGCAACGTGATTACTGTGTGTGTCTTTTGTCTTTCCATGTACGTAGCTCTACGATTACGTCACATGTGTGAACCTCTGGATCTTAACAGGTTGGTGGTCGGCTTTGGAAACAAATGAAGCCAAACTATTTGGTTGAGGACCAGAATGCATCGAGATGTTTGTAAGTAGATAAATCTCAAGTACACATATTTCTTTCATCAATGCGGCCAATAGCAACTGCTCCTTCCAACCGGACAGGACTCATCATTCAGTGCGCTGCACTAACCACCCTCCCAAGTCCCACACAGGAAATCTGATAAGATTAACACAACGTGAGATGGAGTAATGAAGTCAATCCAGATGATGCAGGTAAACGTTTGGGACCTCAGCCGGAGGTAGATTTACAGATCACAGATGGAGACGGAGCTACGGAGTCAAGGTGTGTGTAATAATCAGTTAAACGTTGTAAAGGAGAACATATGGAACCCATACCTACATTCACCAATGGTACCAATGTATTGGAGTCGGTCAGCCTTGTGGAACAAACTGGGGTCATTGGAAATATTCCTGCTGTTAGCGCGCGAGCTCCTCCTCCCGCCAAGTGTTTTTCTTTTCCCTTTTTTCTTTCACTAACGGCCGACGATGAAGCCAGAGGATTTTGGACTTCAGCCCAGCATGTAAATTTATCTGCCATTTCCAAACAATTTCCATCAGGGGCCATTCAGACTGTGTAACAGGATAATTTGACAGCAGCCCAGTAGGAAAGTGGGCAGTGAGGCAGTAATGTCTGATTTATTTCATATTTTCGTCCTCTACAGTTTAGTTTGTAGCCTCACAAAAGGCCACAGCTGGTTATGCACAGTGCTTAAATATAAAAAATCAGCAAGTTGGTGATGGATGGATGCAACAAAATGGACTGATGAAAGAACACATTTCAATGAATGGATGAATGTATAAGTACATGAGTACTGCAGATGGAGAGACTAGACCGTAAAGTGACAACATCCACACAACAACCAATAAATGAATCCATAACTCAAAGGTTATATGGATGGATGAATGCACGTTCCTATATCCTATTGAGAGGTTATTGCATGAGTGAATGTCCTCAAATGACAGATGCCTGAACATAATGCATGAATAGGTGAACAGGTTGAAGGGTAAATTAAGAATGAATGAGTGAATGAGTGACAGGGTGGATTTGTAATCATAAAGATTACAAATAGATTGATATCAAGACAGCTATAAGGAAGTATGCGGGAATATTTTAATACAGTAAAGAAATAAATGCTACTGACGGTCAAAGTGGTGCATACAGGCAGTTCAGCAGATGTGGAAAGTCACCCGACGTGAAACACCAGCGTCTAACGCGGCGAAAGGAAGCGTAGCAGCATCTTTTAGAGCAGCTTTACCTTTCATCAGCACCAAAATGCACTTCTTTCATCCGCTTTAATTACTAGATGCATGAATAAATACATTTATGACATCAGACTCAACTTTTCCCACAGCCGGCGTTCGTATGTGATTTGTTTGTTTTTTCAAAAAATCTGATTTCAGCGAGCAAATCAAGCTTCTATTCCACCGGCTGAATTAAACGCAAACATCTGCACATTCTCTCAATCAATAATGTACATCCGGTCATGGGTGCATGTGGTCCGTGGGAACTGAGCTGGAAGATCACAGGTCGGAGCAATTACCAAATTCTCCGTAACACCTGGCGCCACGGCGGCCATTAATATTCTTTCCAAAAAGAATTAGACTTGAAGTTGAAATGAAAAACTATTAGTTTTATGAAGTTGGGAATATGTGGTTAAGAGATTCATCCCTCTGGAAAAGATCAGAATACATTTAATAGAAAGATGTGGCAGCTGTTGTTTTTAGTCGTCGAGAGGATGATTGACGCTAAATAATGAAATAACAAAATCACTTGTTGTTCTACTAAATATCTTCAGATAAAGATGACTTCATACGAGACGATTTGTTGTGATGAAACCACTACTAATCGGCCAAAGCTTTATGCAGATAAACAATGAGAAACAATCACACAGACAGAAGGATGGAGACATTAGCTGCAGTGCTAAATGCCTTTGACTGACCTGGTGGCAGTGCGGGTTGGACTCTCTGCCGTACGAGTAGGAGCTCCTCTCTGTTTTACCTGCAGGAGGACAAGAAGGAAAGAGTCACATCCACGTCTTCATTCATTTACTACGAAAAGATACCAAAGAAAAGCAGGTGAAACATTCACCACAATGTACTAAATGATCCAAACCAAGGAACCACTCAATCGTTTCTATTACTGAGTGACAACATATTGCTTAATGAAGGTTTCATTCATTTATATGAACTACATCTCTTTCAGATGTACAACATTACATTACAGCAGGTGTATCATTATTTATTATCGACTGACTTGACGACACTAAACGTAATCCACTGTTGATGGAAAACGGAGCTACACGAAATGACCAATGGGAACGTGGCGCTGGCCATTAGCTATTTATTGGGTGCATTTTCCCATTAATTGGTCCATACATTTTATTGTTTCATTATTGTTTCATCAATTGGTATATTTAGTCAACATGGACTCAATGAAATAACAATGTTTAATAAAGAATATATCTGTGAATGTTGATGGATTTATTTATTATTTATTATATATTTAAGAGGGACTCATTTCTATAAGAAGTACACTTAAAGCTTTCTTTCATTTATTCAGCCATTGGCAGAAAAAGGCCAACGTGACTTTTCCGGAGTAGTCCCTGTGTGTGTGTGTGTGTGTGTGTGTGTGTGTGTGTGTGTGTGTGTGTGTGTGTGTGTGTGCGCGCGTGTGTGTGTGTGTGTCCTTGTGAGACATCTGCTATGCCTGTGATGCGTAGAAACCTCTTCACGCTAACGGCTCCAGCCTTTAATCCAGGAACACAACTTTCATCCTCCACATTCCTTTAGGTGTAGATTTGTGCAGACAAAACAAACTAAATATGAGAGACGGTATTTCAGGTTTTCAGGTGGCCAAACATCTAAAAGCCAAGGAACAATCTACTCCCTTGATTCCTGTGGATTTTAAAAGCGTTGTTTCATCCATCTAACGGGATGCATTGTGGAGTCTTTAGGACAGCACACCAGCCAATGGGGGACTTCTCATGCACGGTCTGCGTCTCGACGGCTCAGAATGACACCAACCATACTGCACAAATCCACCTGTGGTGCTATTCATGAATCCAGACTACTGCTGTTAGTAGTCTGGTTAAATAGGCATCATCCTCTTTGGGTTACCCTGCATCAGATGCACAGTCCAAGTACATGAGAAAAACAAAGAGCTCAGAACATGTCTGATGTATTGATCAGCATGTGACATGAGGGGACGTCTCTAAGACACCGTAGAAAAAGGTCTGATGAGTTTTTCAAAAAAGCTGCGTGTTGACAACAAAGCTAATTTCCCCTCCCGCTCCTCAACGTGCTCCGCTCTCCTCCTGAGCTCAGGCAAACCACTCGGAGAGTATTTTTAACCAAGCGGACCTTCTTCTCGCATAAAACCTTAAATCTGCAGCCAGTGTAAATATCAAACCGCGGTTAGTGTGTAATTAGGTTGTGCGGGTCGGTGATGAGATGGAGGGTTTGGTGTGGAGGAGAATGGAGCGTGTACGTGGTGAAGGGTTGGAATCAGGCGTGCATAGAGCGGCGCTGAAAGCACGCCAACAGGGTAGTCGATGCAGAAGAGGTGGATAATTACAGGCGCACAGAATGGGAACGTGGTCGACCATGAGTGTGTGTGTTTCTGTGTGCGACCGATCCAGCGGCCTCGGCTTCGGCTAAGACTGATGCCAGCTGGGCCGAGTTGGCACTTATACAAAGACTCCCCCCCCACACACACACACACACACACACACAAATAACTGGAAATCACTGGCACAGATGCACACAGATACACACATGCACACAAACTAACATACAGACACACAACGTACTTTTACATGGTACCAAAATATATCCACACACAGAATCATGTGCAATTAATCCAGCAGATGCAATACAGCACCCAATGCATGCAAAAACACACGCACACACACACACACACACACACACACACACACACACACACACAAAGAGCTATGTCGATAGAACGGTGCAAACACCTTTGCAAAAAATTGAAAAATCCTTCAACTATTGTACAATTAAGATGCAAAATTTCTACTATGAATTATGATATAAATGTTTAGAAATAACACCAAAATATTGTATTCAATAAAAACAATTCTAAATGTCTCAAAGACTTGACAAATAAATATTTTATGTATTAAGGTTTTACAGTTTGCTGTGAAAAATAAATGACACAGAAGCCGCAGAGCTTTTTACGATCCATCTATACAATAAATATAATTAAAATAAATCTGCTCATTCGGTTTTGTTTCTCTCATCGGTCAACTGTATTATTAATTCACTCTTCAATATTTTACTATTGTCATCATCACATAATGCATTCATTCATTCAATTAATTACACAAATATATACGGTATGATTTACCATTTGCTCACTTGTGTTTATTTATGTCTTCATTGCCGTTGCTCAATAGGGCTGCGTGAAATCAGCATGAACAACCTCAGATTCATTATTTCTTCCTTTCCTCTTTCCATCCGATCACCATTCAATTAATTACCTCTTAAAATACCTTAAAAGGGTCACTTCATTCCAAAATAAACCAAAATGTCACACAAATCCAGTAGCCTGTCCAGGAATAATATTAAGAACAAGATACAAGATACATGATACGTAACACAAAGAATGGGTGACACACCTCGGGGCCTCGGGGCCACAGCAGCGCGTCATAAAATAACACGTTGAGCACCGTATGAATAAACATTTTTCTTTTGTATCCTGCAATTTGTATTTTGGAATCTACAAAATAGAGAAAAGAGAATAAAACACAAGCATATATTTATTGCCACAGCCCAAACATTTATAACCTTTTACCAGACGACGTGTGCTCACACTCACACCACTTATTAAAGATTGTTAAAGATCATCAGTAGTTCTCACAATATTGTTCTGTGTGTCCAGAATGGTAAAGAATGTGAATCCTGATATTCATGTATTTCATGAAAAAGGATTTTTTTTGTTGGATTTGCAAAAAATCCTTCAGAATATTTTAGAACGGCAGTACTTCTAGAACTTTTCTTTTTTAGATTTTAAAAAAGTCTGCATGACTGAATAATGTTTCTGATCGGCCTGATTAATGAAGGTAAAAAAATATATATTCTGACCAGTTGCGCAAGCCCAGTTCTTAACTTTTGTCCAAACACAGTGACCTTTTCACCTCTGCTGTCTCTGAGGGCCGAGCTCATGTATTACACACACTGCCATTTGAATTTGGCTGTTATAGAGAGAGCAACATTAAAGAGAAAAAAAGCCAGGCAGGTACGGCGCAAAGCATCATGGGAAGGTGTCAGGCACAAGATCACACACACCGTGTCACGGTACACACACAGATCTTTTTTACATTCATCAAACATATTCAAAGAAGTCATTTAAATATATATATATATATATATTTTTTTTTTTGTTGTTGAGACAAAAGGGTTTTTATATTAAATGTTCCATCTCTCTTTTTAATGACATAAACATTTTTTTTTTACCGTTTTGTTCAGCAGACTAATGTGAATTAACTCTGCGTATTTTGAAATTTGCCTCAATTTGACCCATTTGAAGCACAAATCCAGAGGACGCCTTCCAATAAATCAGCCGTGGCAAAGTCTGTCCAGGAAAAATGACGGATCTAGTAATGCCAGCGACAATCTACATTACTACTGAAGCCCCAATGTCCTCTGCCGCTCTCAGACCACTTAGGATGAGATCCCAGCAGAACTTCCTCTCTTGTCGCTTCTTTTCTGTTTCTCTGTCAAACCCTCGACTCGCCAAAATGAAACCTTTCCAAGGAGAGGTGCACGTGTGAATGCACGTCAAGGGAACCTTGGAAGGCTCTTTAAAAAAGACTTATTTTAAGTGGTATATGATCTTGCAGTATTTCTAGGACTTTATTCCAAGGTTTTATAGCACCATAGAGGCCTTGAAGAGCCTCCATTAATTAATCACAGCAGCGACTCTAAAACTTCTGACATCTGTCCAAAGGATGATCATGAGTGTCATTAGATCTTATAAACTGCTTCATGAAAGCTTCTGAAACCACAACGACGCTTCAAGGAACAATGGGAACAAAGAGGTCCTTCATCTGTCGAGGGCTTTTGGAATCAATTCTCGAAGCTGGACATTTTCTAGGTAACCAGCAATTCTCAAAAGTCTTTAAAATCAGATCTAACAAGAAGTAGTTGTTCAGCAATGTCTTCACACAACAATGTCTTCACACAACAATGTCTTCACAAAGACTAACAAACCCTGCTTGTCCTTCAAGGAACCTGGCCAGTCTCAGACAGGGTTCCCACTCACAAACCCGTCTACTCTCCAATGACTTCTCAGGAAACAGTCTTCACTACGGCTTAGCAGACGACCAAAGTGCCTTCAGGAACATCCTAAATACACAGTTCTTCATCTATGTAGGGCTCAATAAAAAACCTAACTGCTGAGGAACTTGGTGGTGGTCTGACCGCCAACCTGTCAAACACTAAACATAATCTCCGATTTGCTCTGTGTTCAAACAAACTGTTTCTTGGAAGACTCGTCGATACCTCAAAGGTTCATTGGATCAGATGTCAGGGTGCAGAAAAGTCAAATATACCAACAGGTTGTCTGCATCTTCAGACCGGTCGCCTAACCTTCCTATGTAGTATAACCCTGTAAATCTTTCCTTCTAACTCAACCATGAGGTGACATATGAATGCAATACAGCCACAAACTAAACTAAATGCAAACACTAAACCAAACTGCCTCCAATCTGAAGAAAGAGGCTTTCTAACCTCGACTCTGCTTCCTACAAACTCTGCAGTGATATTTTCTCCTGGACGACAAACATAAACAGGCTCATTGGCCGTGAGGAGGACCCCGAGACGACCCGCCACTCATTAGAGTGAGCTGGCTGCAGGCGTCCAAAAGGTGGAGGAGGGGGGGTCAGCCCACTCTGCCAAAAAAAGCCCATAAAGAAGTCAGTGAGCCGGGAGGACCAAATCCCTGCTAATCAACAACGCCGAGAGAGGAAACACAAATAA